TACATACAGTATCTCACATAAGTGAGTACACCCCTCCCATTTTTGGAAATATTTTATTATATCTTGTCATGGGACAACACTATAGAAATGACACTTTGATATAACTTAAAGTCAGTGTACAGCTTGTATAGTAGTGTAGATTTACCTTCCTCTGAAAATTACTCAAAACACAGCCATCAACATCTTAACAGCTGGCAACATAAGTGAGTACACCCCACAGTGAACATGTCCAAATTGTGGCTAAAGTGTCAATATCTGTAATATGTAATAACAGATATAATATACAATAATCTGTATATGTGTGGACAGGGTCTTTATTTCACCAAACCTCAGTCACTTTTCTATTTTTGTACAATAAACAAAACACTTAATATTTTCTAACCATTACCATAATACTAAAAAACAACAAACTGTTGCAGATGCACAATGACTATGGACTAAACATTGAATCGCTGCGCCTGAAGGATGTTGATGACGAACACTGGGACCCATCAGTATTCATGGACAGCATGTTGGGATGCAGGGAGGGGGTGGATGTGTGTATGTGCTGTGTATGTACATGTATGTTTGTGTAAGAGGAAACAATAACAACGGGGCAAAAGTACACCAGCACCCCACTTTTATATTTATTATGTAAAACTACCTTGCTATTTCACACGGGGGAGGGGACCTGCAAGATTGCCTGCTAACACTGAATTCAATGATCTTGTGATGAATTACTGGGAGATGTTATGAGTCTGAAAACGCTACAGTGGGTATGGAAAAAAAACGACATATATCTGAATATGTGGCTTGATAGGAATAGATGGCACATAAAAGACCCTGACCCTGTAAAATCACTCATCTGCAATGGATGTGGCACTGCTGTTGGGTTTTAATCTTGTAACGCCAATCATGTATTTTCATTCGGGCAGAGAGTATTTGAAAAATGAGTTTTCGTCACCATTGGCCTCTAAAAATGACTACAATCATATTGTGTAAGCTCAGTATTTTTTTGATAATGGCAAGTGCAGAATATTAGCTCCTCCAAACTTTTTTCTTAGGTTCAACAAGAAAGACAGACTCGACAGCTTTGCCTCCTCTGTGCTGCTGCTCCACAGGTGTCCACACTCAGTAACACCTTACAACAGTACCTCACATTAAACCACACAGCAAATCTCATCGTATGTCCTATTTTTCCCAAAATTCTTCTTCTCATTTTTAAAGTCGTTCTTCTCAGGCATGTCTTGGCAATAACACCATCTTTGTCCCACTTCAGTTTAACCAGGACACGATTTGCTCTGTGCACATGTATGCTTTAAGCAGTTGGCAGATTGGTTGTTCATTATTTCCAAGGATTCATTATACTCCAAGAATTGAATTAGATTTACAGTAAAGAAATTAATTCATTAACTGCCAGAATGATTGATCCCTGTTTTATTTTTTCTTTTTAGGTTCTTAATATATTCACTAGCAGGCAAAAACCTCACTAATTTGCTTTCACTGTACTTCTTTTTTTTACCCTTTTCAATAAATTGAACAATGTATTTAATGTGACTGGTCTCCTCAGCTGATTATGTGTACATGACAACATGAAAGATGTGATTAGTTACATTTTCAGCAGTTAATGGTGTTGATGTAAATCATAATTTCTGAAAGTGTACAGAGATTTATTATGACATACTATACTAAAACATTCTTTGTGACATACAATATGACCTACATCGATCGGCCAAAACATTAAAATCACTGACAGGTGAAGTGAGTAACTTTGATTATTTTGTTCCAGTGCATTGTTCTGCTGGGAGACCTTTGGTTCTGGTATTCGTGTGGATACCAACTGACATGTTCTACCCACCCAAACACCGTTGCAGACAAAGTACCCCCCCCCCCCCCCCCCCCCCCCCCCCCCCCCCCCCCCCCCCCCCCCCCCCCCCCCCCCCCCCCCCCCCCCCCATGGCAACAGTACTCCCCAATGGCAGTGACGCCCCAGCAGGATAATGCACCATGCCACACTGCATACGTCGCTCAGGAATGGCCCAAGGAACGTGACAAAGACCTCAAAGGGTCAACCTGGCCTCCAAATTCCCCAGATCCCAATCTGAATGAGCACCTGTGGCAGGTGCCATTAACCTACCTCACAACCCACTGGACTAAATGGATCTGCCACCAATGCACTGGTGCCAGACACCGCAGGACACTCCATCCAAGTCCGATCCAAGGAGGCCCAACCTTAGTTTAGGGGGTACATCTGGGGTACCGGCGCACACAAGAATTGTTGAGCGGATTGGGACCTGGGAAATTTAAAAAGTTTTTGTAGTGAGGCATGCTGCTTTTTTTCTGCTGGGGGGCCACTGTCATTGGGGAGTACTGTTGCCATGAGGGGGCGTACTTGGTCCACGACGGTGTTTGAGTGGGTGGAACATGTCAGGTAGTATCCACATGAATGCCAGACCCAAAGGTTTCCCAGCAGAACAATGCACTGGGACCAAATAATCAAACTTCAACTGTTAGTGGTTTTAATGTTTTGGCTTTTTGATGACATTTTCATGACCAGTCCTTTGGTTTATAAAATGTCAGATAATTGTGAAAAAAAGTCTGTGACAGAACTTTAAACCCAACAGAACCCAATGTTCTGTTAAGTCCAACAGTCCAAAACTCACATTTACTTCACTGATTTGACATTTGATGTATCATTTACACTAAGCCACTAGAATTCTTCAGCCCATTTCAGCCATTTTGAATTACAACCATAAGCCAAGAGAGTGTAAGTAATTTTTTATTAATTTCAATACAATTTTACATTTTCTCTCTATATAGCCTTTGTGTTGCAACAATAATAGTGCTTTCATTTAATTTCTTTCTTGTTAAAAATAAAACAGGCATCTCTAAAGGTATGTACTGCCGTGTAATCTGCCATTTAAACCTGTCTATGGAGATGACATCTGAATTAATTTGCTGTTAAGAAAGGCAGAAAAAGGTTGTTTCCCAGTTTGGGGAAAAGTTGGCTAATTTGGACATAGATACCAAAGACCCAGAAAATACTGCAATTAACTCCTAAATCAGAACTTTGACACATAATCACAAACCTGTTAAATTAGATTTCTGCTACCTTTGTCAATCAACCTATTAGCCAGCGTTAAAGGTTTCTGCAGAGTTCATGACTGTTGGGGTGGAAAAAAATCATCCATGTACATTTTTGATTGGCTTTGGACTCTTCAGTGTCCAACTGGAACCTTACTGATTCTCATAGACACCCACAGGTCTTAACCACCATGTTACGGTGTTTTTTGAGGATGACGTTGTTGTTGTCGTCATAGAAGAGGACAGAGATGGGGCTTAGCTTAGTGGGGGCGCAGCACGCCTTAGGAACCTCGTCAGGTTTCAGGAGGTGGACCTGCAGCAGCAGAGAGGAATGCAGTTAATATTGATAATTAAGGTATTAAACTAAAGCCCATTTACTACACTGAAAGGAGTAATCAGATCCTTTACTAGGAAGTAAAAGTACCAGTACAACTATGTAGAATTACTCCATTAAACACAAAAGTCCTGCATGCAAAATGTACATAAAGTATCAAAGGCAAAATTACTCATTCTGGAGACACATGTCCACCTAATACTGACGTTAGATCGTTAATACTGACGCTGGTTTTACATACTCCGTATGTGGTAAGATACACTGCCTGGCCAAAAAAAAAGTCGCCACCTGGATTTAACTAAGCAAATAGGTACGAGCCTCCTATTGGATAATTACTGCATGGGCGATTATCTTTTAGCTGGCAACAAGTTATTTAACCCCATCTGGTGCAATGAGTTGCTTCTCATTTCCTAAACAACCATGTCGAAAGACACATCCCATGGTCGTGGAAAAGATGTTAGTCTGTTTGAGAATGGTCAAATCATTGGCATGCATCAAGCAGAGAAAACATCTAAGGAGATTGCAGAAACTACTAAAATTGGGTTAAGAACTGTCCAACGCATTATTAAAAACTGGAAGGATAGTGGGGACCCATCGTCTTTGAGGAAGAAATGTGGCCGGAAAAAAATCCTCAATGATCGTGATCGGCGGTCACTTAAACGTTTGGTGAGATCAAATCGAAGAACAGCTGAACAGCTGTGTAGCCTTAAGAAAACCACTAATCAGTGAGGCTAACCGGAAAAAAAGGCTTCAATTTGCTAGGGGGCATAAAGATTGGACTCTGGAGCAATGGAAGAAGGTCATGTGGTCTGATGAGTCCAGATTTACCCTGTTCCAGAGTGATGGGCGCATCAGGGTAAGAAGAGAGGCAGATGAAGTGATGCACCCATCATGCCTAGTGCCTACTGTACAAGCCTGTGGGGGCAGTGTTATGATCTGGGGTTGCTGCAGTTGGTCAGGTCTAGGTTCAGCAACAGTATGTGCTCAAAGAATGAGGTCAGCTGACTACCTGAATATACTGAATGACCAGGTTATTCCATCAATGGATTTTTTCTTCCCTGATGGCACGGGCATACTCCAAGATGACAATGCCAGGATTCATCGGGCTCAAATTGTGAAAGACTGGTTCAGGGAGCATGAGACATCATTTTCACACATGAAAGGCCACCACAGAGTCCAGACCTTAACACCATTGAGAATCTTTGGGATGTGCTGGAGAAGGCTTTGTGCAGCAGTCAGACTCTACCATCATCAATGCAAGATCTTGGTGAAAAATGAATGCAACACTGGATGGAAATAAATCTTGTGACATTGCAGAAGCTTATCGAAACAATGCCACAGCGAATGCGTGCCGTAATCAAAGCTAAAGGCAGTCCAACGAATTATTAGAGTGTATGACCTTTTTTTTTGGTGGTGACTTTTTTTTTGGCCAGGCAGTGTAGTTAAGTCCAGTGGTTCCCAACCTAGGGGTTGGACCCCTCCAAATGTCACAAGAAAAATCTGAGGGGTTGTGAGATGATCAGTGGGAGAAGAAAGAAGAAAACCAAAGTTCTGCCACACAAATTGTGAATCTTTTCTGCTTTGGTCGTATTTGAGAGTTGCCATAGATGCAAAAGGAAATTATAAAAGGAGAATAAATGCTAACTAACCCCAGGGGAATTGCTAACAAAGCTGAATTTTAAAATGTGACAAGGGGTCTTCACTAGACTGTCACAAGCCAAAAGGGTTGTGAACCGCTGGTTTTATATATATCATTGTATTGTATTTCTAAAGCCAATCATATGTTGTTTTGTCTAGAAATTAACCAGGAACTATAGCTGTCAAATAAATGTAGTGGAGTAAAAGGTACAATAATTCCCTCTGAAGGTATAAAGTAGCATTAAATGGAAATACTCAAATATTTAAATACAGCACTTGAATAACTGTACTTGCTCAATACTGGACCAATTTGAGGACATAAAAAAATAAACAAGTTACCCTTTAGGTAAAGAAATAACTGTACGTAAAGCACCATAGCCCCACACAGGAAAAGGGGCAGTATTGCAGCATGTGTTAGTATTCTACTTTCTGTTCACTTGTCTAATGTCAGGATGAAGCAACAGTGTGTTAGATGTGCGTCGTCACTGTACTGACCACTTGCTGGATGAGGGCGTGGTTAGTGGCGTTCATGCAGGAGCCCAGAGGATAAAAACACTCTCCGTCACAGTAGTAAGCTGAGTATCCAGTGGGGGCCAGAACCCAGTCCTGAGCAGAACCACAGAAATTTAGTTGCAGTCAGGAAATTCAAGAAACGTTATATATTAAGAAATATATCATTATAATAATAATATGACAGAAAATAAGGAAGGATCAATATTGCCTGCATTTATCAAACTGCTGAAATGTAAAAGATAAGATTAAAAATCCTTCACATTTACTGCTACTTAAACTTAAAGTCGGAGCTGACCTTCCATCCCAGGTCACTGAAGCTGACATAGAGTTCATGTTTTTTACAGGGCTGACCTCCGTTGTTCGCAGGGCTTCGATCTGAGCAGAGAAGACGAAACATTTAGAAATACTGTCAGACACAAACAAAAGATGAGAGTATTCAAGTAACATGAAAGCATCAGATTCAGAGCTGTACTCCAACACAGCCTGGAGCCTCACTATGGATGCTGGGGACTGGGAGGTCATATTTAGGTTTCTTCTTGCGGGGATGTGGCTTGACAGCTCGTGGCGGCCGACACGGCACCTGACTCTCCCTGAAGAAGGTCACCATGAAGGGCTGTTTGGAGCGAGGGCCCCTGCGTCCCACCAGCCCGATCCAGCCTGCAGACAGGGAGCGGTCTGGGAGAAGAAACAGAGCAGCAATTCTACGACTTCAAAATAAACCTTTTTAAAATAATTAGGTGTAAATCGCCCATTAAGTACATTAAAAAAAAAAAAAGATTATGACGGTTCAGCGGTACACCCACCCTCCTCTGTCTCCACATAGAGACGTATGCCCAGGTTGCTGCGGGGGTGGAGGAGCCAGTGGTTGGAGGCTGATGTGACGTCGAAGGCCAGCCAGCCCTCCTGTCCTGCAGGCACCGACTGCATGTCCAGCAGCACCAGCTCTGGTTCTCTGAGCACACAGACAGAAAATAATGTACATCTAATC